AGTAATGATAAAGTAATTTTTTTTTCTTGATTGCTTAAGGCAGATTTTAATTCTTAAAAATGTATTTTTCTGGAGGCTGAGAAAGCATCCATACATTTCAGGAACAGTATTATTAGAGCTATTAAAATGTTTATGTTGTGCCAGATCTTTGCTATGAGATTGCTGGCATTTGGGGTTCTGTGGCATGAAAAGAAAGCTTAAATTTCCATAACCATGAAAAAGTTTGGTCCTCTATAATGTAAACGTAAATTTTTTAAAAATGGGAGTAAAAGTCCAGTTGGGAACAGGAAAATGATTATCGAGATCACTGCAAGAGGTGAAGTGAGTGAAGATCGTTTTGTGTGAATGAAATAAAGAATGAGCTGGGGTTCCTCCGCTGCCGGATAAGGACATCATGGTTGATTTTTGTAGTTAAAACTACTTATTTGGACCTATTTAATACATGTTCTGTACGATTTGTCAAATGTAGACAGTCTAGGTTTGACTTAGAGGGACTTTTTGACCACAGAGATGATGAACTGCCAGAACACGTGTCATCTCCCTCAGGGATCCCCAACCGTTTTGGCACCAGGGACCAGTTTCATGGAAGACAGTTTTTCCATGGATGGGGGAGGGGTGGTGGTGGGGATTCAGGTGGTGCTGCCAGCAATGGGCAGATGGGGAGCGGCTGATAATACAGACCAAGCTTTGCTCGCCTCCTGCTGCGTGGCTTGCAGGGACATGCAGGGGTGCGGCCGAGCTCTGTGGCCCAGGGCTCGGGACCGCAGGTCTATGCGGGCACAAACGAAAGGTAGTCTGTGGGTTGCACTCCTGGGCTGATATCTTGATGGGTCAGAACTTGAAGGAAAAGGGGATGCGAGGAAGCCCTCAGAGCTTCCTGGACATGGCGGTGGCCGCACTGGGCGCCTGCTCTGCTGGCTCACAAAGCGTCAGCGGCAACTGCTCCACTGCTTCGTGTGAAAAATGTAATCTTTGTAAATTTTTTTTAAATTTAGGAAGCAAAATGTGGATTCAGCAAACAAATTCTGGAAATATTAAATACTACTGGGTATGTAAATCTTGTTTTCAAATGATGTATTTAAAAAAATTATAACTTTTCAGTTCTGCCACTGGTGCTTTTCAGCCGTAATGTCTATATCTGTTTATTTTGCTATAATGTTTTGTGAATGCCTTAACTCAGACCAAAATAGAAATTTGTCTGCTTTGCCAGAGGAAAGTACTAACTTTCTCACCATGCATAATGATATTTCAGGGAGAATATATTACGGGTGGTTCTTAAATTTTTTTAAATTTCAGTTTCTAAGCAATACACGAACCTGATGGGCATATACTAAGGTCCATGACGTGGATCTGAGAGGTGGGGCGAGGTAAATCACAGTGCGCCTGCTTTTGGTGAAGCTGGTGCTCAGGGGCGACGCTGCCGGATAAGGACATCATGGTTGATTTTTGTAGTTAAAACTGCTTATTTGGACCTATTTAGTACATGTTCTGTACGATTTGTCAAATGTCTTTGCTTATTTCTCTTATTTCTTATTTCAT